ATTTGTAGAACACAAATACTTTATGCTTTACAAAGAGTTCTTTCATAGTTGTTGATTTTACTTGACAAAATTTCATAGGCTTTTGACAGCAACCCTGTTAAGTAGACTCTAAAATTCTTCCTATTTTATAGATGAGAGCAGAGGCACAGAGAGGTTAACTGACTTGCCTAAGCTCCCCCGAATTTGAAGTGTCAGAGCTAGTGCTCGAATGTCATTTTCTCATTTGATCCTTCCAGCGTTGCTGTGAGATAGTAATTATTACTCTGTTCTTTTTGGTTGGATTTTGGTCAGCTAAGCCATGGAGGTAGTTTAGATGGCTCAAGTTCCTTTGGTCAATGACAGTTAAAATGCTAATTAACACTTGTCAAAGTTTGATTTATCTCATTCATGGGGGAGCCAGAAAGATGTTAAAACTGGTTTAAAAGTTGGATAAGGGAAACATATACGTAGGCATGTATTTTTTTTTAATAGTGAAAAAAATGAATGTTGAGATAAGATCACTAAGTTAGATCTAAAATTGGTTAATATCACTTTACGGGAAATGTAACCACAACCTTTGGAGTCATCTTTTCTACTGGGTGGAAATCATTTGCATATCTATTGTACCTCATTAGCCTTTGACAAGTTAACTTCTCATCCTACAGGGTTGTAGCAGAGCAGCCTTAATTGACTAGTCTTTCAAAACTAAGTGTCCCCCTACCCCCATCCCGCCCCCATGGAGTCTGAAGACCCTTAGCCTGGCCTCTCTGAGCCTTCAGCTGCACGAAATTGAAAGCAATTGTGGTCATCTTTGGCCTCATTTCTAGGGTTTCAAAGGACAGTCATCTAGAGGGCAGTGCTGCTGGTACTTAAACCAAAGCTTTCGGAGCCTAGACTTGCCCTCTGTGCTGGGCTGGTATCATCTTCCGGTTTGGAGGGGTGATCAAGAGCCTAAAAATGGGAAAAAGAGTTTAAAATGTTAACATAGATCCATTGGAGCAGGAGAATTCTCAGAGCCTGGAAATGCATCACCTGGAAAAACTATTACAAATGCAGATTTCTCAGTCCTCTGGAGAATATAATTCTCAGCGGGGCCGGTATGGGGCCTGGGATTTTATAGTTTTTCACAGTGCTTCCGGGTGTTGTGCAGTTCCTGGTCTAAGTCCCATGACAACGGCATTGAGAGTATGAGCGACAAATGACGGAGGCTTGCATTATCATCAGCATGGGTGGACAGTGTGAGGATCCTCCAGGGAAAATGAGAGTGGCCAGCAAGGCTGTACCTCCCCAGTGTTTAAGCACCAGGATACTCTTGACAGACCTAGAAGGAGCACACTCTGGGGGAATGAGGTGTCCGTGAAACTAACCACTGTGGGATGAGCTAAGTAATGTGGACCTGTGCCGAGCAAGGCTGCATAGGTTGTTATCACTTTGTCTTCACCGGGTGCTTATCTCAAGCGGAGGAAGGAGGGTTGAGCTCCGAGAAGCTGATTTTTGAGCCCTGCTGCCTCTCTCCCCAGAGGGAGTTTTAGAGATTGAAGTTCGGAGAGGCCTTTGAAATGTGTCTGATAGTGAATAAAATAGTCGTTAAAGGGATTGTTCTGGTTATGAAGGTGCTGAGCCTCTGGGGAGAGGGGTCAGGGCTGTTTCAGACTGCAGTGTACTTTTGGGGTCTGGCTGTGCCTCCGCATAGGGCCCTGGCTGCCCCCAGACAGCTCTATTGTCTTTCCCTGGAGAGCAATCTTATGTCTACTATTTGGGGGACAGCTTCTTTTCCCAGGTGGGATTCGGAAGATGCAGGTTTTGCTGGAGGACATAGGGTCTGAGCAGTCTGGTTTTTGCCCCAAGTGAGCATTTCTGTGGTGGCTTCTATTAGCACTGGGATATCATCTCTGCCTGTCTTGTGGGCTTGTGAGCCCGGAGGGTGTGTGTATGCAGCGGGGGAGCATGTCATAGAAACTGCTTTTCCATCAAAGCCAGAAGAAGGAGGGGGTGGGGTGGGAAATCTTGGACAGTCCTTCTCCCTTCCTGGACGCACTTCACTCACAACTTGTTTCCTGAAAATCCTAATACACTCCAGTGGTGAGAGATGGCTTCCTGCTGAGCTGCTGAGCCAGCCCCTTGTCAGGGAGGAGATGAGAACAAGATGTGGCCGAAGAAGGGGCGGATGGGCCAAGCTGGGCTGCTCATTGACCCCCTAGCCCCCTCTCTGAGTCCCAAGAGCACTGCCAGGGTACCACCTAGACACACAGGCATGGGCAGGCCTGGCTAGGGCTGTGGGGAGGATATGAAAGTGGTGTTTTGTCTCTCAGTAAAATTGCATGGATGGTGGTGATGAAACGTGACCCTTTTGCTTCTGGAAAGAAGGACCTTGGCCAACATTGGCAACCCCATTTGGGGAAAGGGTTGTTGTTTCAAAAAACTGGCCCTGAAGTCCTTATGTATTCATCCTCTTTCTCCTGCCGCGTGCTTTGCTTACCCATATTTTTCTCTGCATATATGCACATCTAATAGCTCATGACATTTTTGTGACATCCCGTATGTCCCCAAGGCTGCTATCGTTATCATCAAATTGTGGTCTGGACACTGGTTCCTGGAAGTGTTTTAGTTTTATGCTTCCAATTTCTAAGAAAAAACAGAGCAGAAAAGTGCTTAAAAAGTATGGTCTGGGCCAACAGCTCCGGGTCTGAAACCTGGCCCTGACATCGTGCCGGGAGAACTTGGACAAGTTAAATGTGGAGTTTCCAGGGTATTTAGTCACACAGTGGGGAAAGGATTAGGACCTACCTCAGGGGTCTGTTGTACGTGGGTGTGTTCAACGGTTTAACACTTAAATATGTGTGAACTGTTTCGATGGAACTTTTCTGGGTTTTTCAGGTTCAGAATGATCCAGGATGTGGTAGAGGCAGGAAGATGATGGGGGCTTGGGGAGTGAGACACTTTGATATTTCTGAGGTGTGCCTACCTTAAAAGTTAACTCACTAACTTGTGGTCTAGGGTGGTGCTTCTGCATCAAAATCACTTCGGGAGTTATTACAAAGGGTGGCTGAGTTTCTCTCTGCCCCAGTACATCTGCGGTGGGGTCTAGCAATCTACAGTTTTAACTAATTCCTAGACTATGCTGCCGCTGCTGGTCCTGAAACGGCTGTTAGGCAGAAAAAGAAGCAGATCATTCCATGTGGATTCAGAAGACAGAATGAGGCCAGTGGGCGCCAGTTACAGAGAGGTTCTGTGTAAGAACTTTCTCTGACTGCTAAATGGGTTCCGAAATGGAGTGGGGGCTCTCATGAGCTCCGTGTCACTGGAGATGTCCAGTACTGAATGGCCATCTGGCAGATTCCCACACAAGTAGAAGGTTCATTCATTCACCTGTTCATTCATCCATTCATCCACTCATTCACAGAGTAAACTTTGTATTGCCTGCTGGGAGGTGCTGGGAGGTGCTGGGAGGTGGGGAGAAGCCTTGAACAAAGCACCTGTGCCATTGTTCTCAGGGAACCCACAGTCCAGTGAGTTTGGCTAAATGATTACAAAAGTCCCTTTTAACCCTGAGGCTCTGAGAGTCCTATGATGAGATCCTCAGAATAAGAAGCTACAGAACAATGCTTACCCTGCTGAAGACATGGCCAGGGACTGACAAGAATGTGGCCATCTCTGAGGTTCAATCTGGAATGTTCTCTTCGGAGCATCTTCATGTGACTGAATCAATGATTCTCCCGCCCTAAGACTCAAAAAGAGGTTAAAAATGTATTTGCCAGGAGTGCATTTCCTGTGAGAAAATTCAGGTTTCCCACTGGCACTGAGATAGACCATTAAACTCTGAACCCATAACTAGCTGTCCATAATGCTATCTGTGAAAGCAGACCCAGGAAATGGGGTTGAGAATGAGCTAATTGCTTTTTCACCTCTCTCAAGTGATCAGCTGGAGGATTAATGACTGGGGACAGTTAGGGGGAAAGAGGTACATTCCATCTGTTTTTTCTGGGTTCTTCTGTTATTATTCCTGGTGGAAGCAATGATGATGATTGCTGACCTTTACTGAGCTCACTCTGTGAGTCTAGGCTTGCCGTTAAGCTCTCTTCACGCATTTTCACTTAATTCTTTTTTGTTAGACTCCCAATTTCTCTTCTCTTACGGACCTGAGACCCCCTCTTTGCCCCTGGACTTCAACTTTCTATAGATGCATTTTGCCTTTAATGTGGCTGAGCTAGTTGAAACCTCCACTTGGCTCTTTTATTTTTCTTTAAACTTTTAGAGAAATTCTAGGAACCTTGTTTGGTGTTGCCTTTGCCTTTGGTGAGAGAGTCTTAGCCTCAGCCTCAAGGGGTCTGTGGCAAGGGAGAAACCAATGTCCAATTTTAGAAAAGAAAAGATAAAAAACCAGAATTGTCTGTAAGGGTAATGCACAGAAACAGCAGGTCTCAAGAAATCTGAGCCACCAGGTCTCAGAAAAGGCAGGCAAAGGCCGTGCGGGGAAGTCCCGCAGCGGGAACAAAGGAACAGATGAATGACTCCCATCTGGTCGGTTTTTGCAACATCATTCCATTGGCTTAGCTTGGTTCCTGGGACACCGTTGGCCAGGGCCAGGTGGGACACTAAAACATGCAACAGGAAAGAGAGTTTCCCTTAAAGAAAACCTGGCATGCTGATACTGAAAGCTGGTGGGCGCCGTGCTAACATTACCAGTGTAGGTCCCAGATCTGAGTCCGCGGACCTTGGCAAGTTCTCAGTGTGTGTTTGCGTGTATATATTCTAGGTTGCAGAAAGCATTGCAATGCTGCTTTAGCTTTGTCTGCTTCCTCTGGTTGTGTCCAAACTAGGTGATGAACCCACTGAATACAAACTAATCCCCTTCCTCCTGGTTTTCTTTTTGTTCCCGAGGCCCTTATGGCGGCTTATTTTCTTGTGCTAGGAGAAGCTTGGGTGGTTCTTCCTGGGTCATTGAGAATGGCTGGCCGCTGTTTCCAGGAGGGCAGAGGCCATCACCTAAAGAGACAAAAGCCTTTGTTTATTCTTTGCAGGTACCTTTTTGCTCCAGCCTACACGGAAACCCATTACACTCCAAGTGGCAGCCCTCAGACCACCAGGCTGAAATCTGAGGTAAGTTCAGGTCAACAAAGATCTGCAGTTGGCCTATCCTCGTCCCACCCCTGGGGAGTGAGGAGATGCATGGTGGAGACAGACCCCCTCTGAAGGGTTTGTTTGCCCTGACCCAAGACCAAGGGCGTGAGCAGGAGAAGCATTCTGTAAATTTGTTGTCTCATAAGGCCGCCCTCTTCTCTGCTGGCTAAAATGGTCAGACGAACAGTAGTTCAGGTAATTGCATCTGATTAAAATTGGTATAAATCATTACGAAGCATACATTTTCTTTGTTGGGTGTTAATCACCCACATATTAACAAAAGTGTAAGTGAAAGAAATGAGTTACCAGGGATCCTGCCGTGTCACTTAATTAGATGTTTAATTGATCCTTTCCCATATGGATGGATAAGGTTTTGTAGTCTGCCTTCTCAATGTAATTTCAGGCTATGCAGATTTTCTTGTTTTGCTGCAGTGTTTATACTGGATTTTTTTTTTTTCTTTCAAAGTGTTTTTGAGTTCAGATATTTGCACAAAGATTTGTCACTTAAAAAATGGTCTTTCAGGGGTGCCTGGGTGGCTCAGTTGGTTTAGCATCCAACTCTTGATTTCAGCTCAGGTCATGATCTCAGGGTCCTGGGATTGAGCCCCGAGTTGGGCTCTGCACTCAACTTGAAGTCTGCTTGTCCTTCTCCCTCCTCCTGCTGGACTCTCAAATAAATAAATAAGTAAAATCTGTTAAAAAAAAATAGTCTGTCAAATCGTTTGTCATATGGATGCATTTTAGTGTGCTTCACCACACCCCACTGGTGGGCATTTAAGGTAGTGAACTGTACCCATTTCACAGTTTGCTGACTTTTCCTACCAGGGGACCGTTAGTGTTGGCGGGATCAGAGCAGTGGTTCTTAGCTAGGAGTAATTTTGCCTAAATCATCTCTTTTACTTAAACTTTTGTTAATGTAAAGAAGATAGGTTTCATGTTGATGAGGTCAATTTTAATCAGATGCAGTTACCAAAAAATATTCTATTTGTTTGGTTGACCATTTCAGCCAGCAAAGGAGGGGACACTTGGCAGCGTCTGGAGACAGTTTTGACTGTCACAACTGGGAGGTGGATGCTACTGGCATCTGGTGGGTAGAAGCCAGGAAAGCCGCTAAGTGTCCTATAATGCATAAGGTGGCCCCTCCACAACAGAGAGTTATGCGGCCCCAAATGTCAACAGTGCCCAAGATGAGAAACTCTGGATTAGAGTGAACTTTCTCAGTATGTGCAGATGAGATAGGGTGAAGGAGGGAAGATGGACTCCAGCAGGAGCAGCAGTGGTCTTCTGCCTTTGGGGCAGGACGTCATGGAAGTGGGTGGCATGCAGATGCGGAGTGTGGTGAATAGGGTAGCAGGATAGGCCCCTTAGCCTCAGTGTTCTTCTGGAAGCTTCTCGTGGAATCAGAGAAGCTTCATGGGTCTCCATGACCCGTCTTTAAAATATCTCTGCTGGAGCGCAGATGTCCAGAAGACAAGGACAGCCACTCTCCGTCAGTAAAAGCTCAGATTAGTTTATCAGATTAGCCTTGAATGGGGAAAGGGACCCAGGACTTCTAAGTTTTGACAGATCTGAGAGGTTGGGAGCATAGCAATCGGGTAGCTGAGGAGCTGTGTTCCATCAGTGCTGTCTTCTTCACCAAGACCTTTCTGGAGGGGGGAGGAGTTGGCAGTGTGGCCAGGATCCACGGGCAGGCAGGTTGACCTTGTCTTCTCATCTCTGGGGAGGCTCTCTAGGCGTGGCTCCTCGCCTTCTTCAGTGCCCCTTGGTCGAAACTCCCTCCATTATGGAGACCTCCACTCTCTGCCTCCAGGGAGGAAGCAGGCGTGCCTCGAAAGCCCCAGGACCTCACCAAGCACCGTCCTCTGAGTTTGGCTTTGGCACTTCTCCACCCGCAGCTCAAGAATGGGTCTCAGTGCACAAGTTTGCCATGAGCTCATACTTCCTGCTGTGAAAGCCCCCTTGGGTGGCCCCCTCAGCCTGAGAGGCTGAGAAGGAATGCGGTGACTTCATGACTGTTCATTTACTTGTTCTTTGTGCACTCAGCATCAGGCAGAGATGCTGTGAGGGCCTTTCAGAAACAAAGGAGTGGAAGAGAACTTCCCCTCACCCCTGGAACACCCCTCTTTCCTGAAGGTCCTGTTGACCGAAGCACATCCTAGCTGCAGTATGGGACGACCCATTATTTTCGTACATCCCTCCTACTGGACCCTTGCAAAGCCCCCATCCAGCCCCATGGAACTCCTTCTCCGCTTTCTTACCTGGGAGCTGAGGACTTCAAAGAGAAATGAGAATAGAATACACCATTTAGCTGTGCCTGACCCAAACATGGAGGGCTACGCCCTGCGACCAGCCTTGGCCTGGGCTACTGGGAGCCCTGGGAACCGTCAGACTCATCCTTCAGGCCAGCGGAGTTCAGATTTGGAGTCTGAGGCCAGGCATGTAGACTTTAACCAGCTCTGTGACCTTAACCAATGCTTTTGTCCACACTGGTATTGAGTTTCTTCATCAGAAAATTGGATATATTAAGATCTGACTCTCAGAGCTATAGAAGGGTAAGATGAGTCACCGATTTTGTGGGAATTTGTAAACATATCTGCCAGCGCCACATTTTACTCATGAGGAAATTGAGAAGAGAGAAAATAACATGTTTATGTTCAGATAACCAGCCAGTGGCAAGGCTTAGACTAGAATTAAGTCCCTGGTGGGGCTAGAAGAGAGTAGAGCTGTGACCAGTTCATTCCTGCACACTTTCCTGGGGCTGCTTTTGCTCAGAGAGGCCGGCGAGTCTCAAGTTAGGCTTGCCGTGGTTCCAGTCTCCTCCTGGCTGTGTGACCTTGTGAGCCACAGGAAACCTCTCCCACCTTTAATTTCCCTTTTTAAAAAATGGCAGTTAAAATACCTACCTCATAAGGCTGTGAGATTGTCAGAATTAAAGGAAAAAAAATCTCCATTAGTTTTTTTTCCAGTCTCCAGGGCTGGATGGATGTTAGCCTCATGGTTTACAATAGAAATGGCAGGTATCATTAGCATGTGTGATGATGTGTGTGAAAGCGCTTGGTCGATCTAAAGCATGTTATTAAAGTCCACTGTTATGCTGTTTGAGAGGGCACCTTGGTGAACACTATTAGCATCATCTCAAAGATGGGAAGAGGCCCGGGGATTCTTCGTGTCCATCCCTGGATTTGAATTCTCTTGATTTGTAGAGGGACCCGGATTTTTGAAACTGTAGCTGATCCTCATTTCTGAACTTTTTGACTCTCCGTCATTCCAACATCTGCAAACCCCACTGACCCTATATGGGCCTGGCCTCGTCTTCCACTGGTGAATGATGCGGGCTGTGGAGTTCATGGCCCTGTGGCTGAGTTGTAAGGATCGGTTCAGAAGCTGCGAGTTGATGATACGTCTCCAGGTCTTGGGAGTCTGGCAGAGGGGGCCTGTGTGACAGCCGGCATCTGGGGGCCTGTGTGACGACCGGCATCTGGGGGCCTGTGTGACGACCGGCATCTGCAAGCAGGTGGAATCCCGGCTGGAAGGGGGGTTATGCCTGCCTCACCTCCCTTCACAGGTGCCGGCACAGCGCCTTTCCGCAGTGTTCCTCTGAATGCCGGCATCTGGTGCACTGGAAGTCCAGGAGAGTTTGATGCAAAGAGAGAAGCCGCTGCCTATCTCTTGTCCTGAGCTAGAATGGGTGGAGGAGCCGAGCCACGCCGCCAGCCAGCAGGTTGTCGCCATGAGAGAGGACACCCGTGCTCTGGACCCTGCCCCTGAGCTGAGTTCCGGCCTGGCCCGTAGCCTGTGACCTGGCATGTGGCTCAGCTGTGTATGACCCAGAATTGGTGTGGGACCACTGAGGGTTCAGGCCCTCGGTGGGCTTCCGGCTCCCTCGTAGCCACATCCCACCTTTGACTTTAAGGCCTGTATCACGATCACTAAGGTTTATTGCCTACCACAGGTCCTCAATGGAGAGTTTTCTCACAAGCACCTCATGAGGTAGAGACCAAAGACACTGGAGGTCGGAGGGAGGTTGTGGAACTGTTTCGACCACAGGCAGGTGTGGGCGCTTGCATGTAGATCCAGCCGGGCCGCACCAGCGTGCCTGCGTTTAGTCATCAGGCCATTGCCCTGCCCAGAGCTGGGCGGGAGGTGGGGCCAGAGAGTGCCGATGAATGGGTTTGTGAACGAATGGGTTTGCCGCCTCCTGGGTCCTGTCCCTGCTGGCTTCCGACCGAGGAACGACCACAACAAGTGTGGTCCTAGTGAGGGATCGCCGGGCAGATCGTAGGCAGATGCCCGAGATTTCTGATTGAACCTGCCTGGGCACTGTGGGGAAAGAAAAAACTCCCGTGTCTGCAGCTGCAGAGCTCAGACCCTTCCTAACACCTTTGCGAAACCCGCCTCTGCCCTGGGGATTTTTCCCTCTCTCTCTTCTGAGCAGCTGAGCTCCCTTGAACTATGTGGGAAGAAGTTTATAGGAGTGTGCCCTTGTGTGTGCTGGGGACAGTCGTGGGCTGCGCCCATCGGTCTCTTTGGTGCTTCGCTGCTCCTAGCTGTGTCCCGGGTGGCCTCTTAGATGCTCTGGTTCCCCTACTTATAATACACTCGGCTGGCACCTCCAACTTGGATTTCAAGCCTCTCTTCAGAGTTTGTAATTAAATCTCTGTATGGCTTTTTAATTAAGATTGGCTCTCGCAAGACGCTAAGTCCCAGGAAGGCTGGAGACGTGCGTGCTCTCTCCTTGTTGTGTCTCCCGGACGTAGCGGGGGGCCTGGCCTGGAGCAGCATTCAGCAGCTGCTTGTAGTCAAGGGGAGTCCAGCCAGGTCAGGAGGACCAGATGGCTGTGAGACACACCGATGTGAGAGCAGCATCAGCCCTCCAGGCGTCTGTGGCTGCAGGTGCCAAATCGGGTTTGATCCAGGCACACAGGGATTCAGGGAGGTGGGGAAGTGGGGAGCTCTCCGTTTCCCAGGGCTGCTGTGGCAAAGCACTGTGAACTTAGAGGTGCAAAACACAGTTCCGGAGGCTGGAAGTCCAAAATCATGGTGTCAGCAGGGCCAGGCTTCCTCTGTGGTCTCTAGGGAAGGATGCTTCCTTGCCTCGTCTAGCTTCTGGCGGCCCCCGTCAGTCCACGGTGCTCCTTGGCTTGCAGCTGGATCACCCTAATCTCTGCAGCCGACTTCAGATGGCCTCTTCTCTCTCCCTCGGGCTCTCTGTGTCCTCCCCTCTTTTTCCAAGGACATCAGTCCAGTATGACTTCATCTGAACTTAATGCCATCTGAAAAGACCCTGTCCCAAAGAAGGTCACATTCTGAGATTCTGGGAGGACACGCATCTCAACTCTGCAGGGGATCCCGGAGGTGACTCGAGCAGGGAGGCAGGCTCTTCAGAAGCCATCGTGGCCTGTAGCCACGTGTCATGGCAAGAGCCCTGAGCTAGACCTGATGTCCTGGCTTCTCTAACAGGGAGACCTTTAGCAAATCTTTCTGCTTCTCTGAATCTCGGTTGTTCATCTGTTCACTGGAATGATGACATCTGCTCTGTCCCAGGACTATTACGAGGATCAAATAAAAGGGTGGTTTAGGAAGCTCTTTGCAGACTGTAAGTTAGGGCGTGCATAATCGTCCCTGACCTTCACGGAACATGAACGTTGCCAAGCTTATCAGTGTCCTTTCGCCTGACCAGCCCCCTCTTCTCCTCGCTAGGACCACTGCTTTTACCACGGGACGGTGAGGAAGGCCGAGCAGTCCAGTGTGACACTCAGCACGTGCCGGGGAATGAGGTAAGAGGCCCTGGCCGCGCTGGGGGGCGCCTGGCACTCCCCGCACGCATGGAATTTTTAGGACAAGCAGGGCTGGCCTTGGGCAGGGACCTTGAGAGGCTGTCCATTGAGAGTGTATGCAAGCCAGTTCTGCGAAGGGCTGAGCTTCGGAGAGACAAGGAAAGTCCCGGATAATCCACAGATTCACTGGGCTTGAGCTTTCTCTTTCTTGAGGAACTTCAGGTTTCTTTATTATTTAGGCATGGGGAAGCCAGCAGGTCAGGAGATGACTACCACTGAAAAAACAGTTTGCTGTACTCAAGATCCCAAGAGAAGGGGCACACCACATAGGGAAGCACAGGGGTCAGTCAGGGGCCAGGTTGTGGGAGGTGAGGGGATGTGGGCAGGAGTCTTCGCTTTGGTTTCTATAGGAAGAAACCGGCATGGCAGGGTAAGCTGGCTTTGGATTGGCCACTTTGAAGTGGGATCTGGGGCAAAAGGGCTGTTCCTAGTTGTCTGGCACCAGCTCCCAGGGTGATCAGGGCAGGGGGACTGGCTAATAGGGTGGCACCTGCCCCCGGGGTGATCTGGGCAGGGGGACTGGCTGAGAGGGTGAGAGCCTGCATCTCAAAGTTGTTTACCGTCCCTAGGAATTGGCTAATCCTGAGAAGGGCAAGGCCCCAGCTATCAAAGCATCATCATAATACAGAAAATAAAAGTCATGGTTCATACACTTGAAATGAGCGTGAGTGCTTATTCCCACTTCTCCTTTGCTCTTTGCTGGTCTCAGAACTAGCAGGAGATGAAAAAGGAACCGGGCATTTAGGAGAAGAGGAGGGAGGAAGAGAAGGGAGAAGCTAGGTGATTTTCAGGATGACAGGCGAGGCAGAGAATCTATGTTAACTAGAGCCCTCTACCGTGAAGCCCTGTGCTGAGACTTCACCCAGGCTCACATGCAAGTGCAAGGCCCCTCGTGTGTTTGTTTATAAATTGGCCATGTCTCCTCTGTAAGGCTTCTCAGTGCGTCTGCCGGAGGGAATTAGGCAGGAAATGAGCTTTGGCTGGAAGACCATACCCGTGGCTCCCGATCCTCTGCTCAGATGACCTGGTTGAGCCAAGCCAACTGGTCTCCAGTGGTGTTTACAGGCCCAGCTGCCACCACCTGTGGTCTGCAAGTAAACAATGTCTGTCCCAAGAAGGAAGAAAGGGAACACGCAGGTGTGACTCGCTTCTCCCTGCCTCTTCCTCTGTGTCCAGGGTCTGGAGCAGTGGGAACTTGGCTTGGGTTCTCACAAATCATTCCCGCAGCCGTGCTGACAGGGGGAAACCGGCTGAGCCGCCCATGTGTTTGTGTTCTGCACGCTTCCCTCTGCTGCAGTTACCCGTCTTACTTTCCCAGCCTTCTCACTGCACACCTTAAGAACTGAAGGGCATCTGTGGGCCCGGCTGGCTTAAGAGCCGGAAACGTATACCAGATGTCTCATTCGGACCCTAGAGAAGGAACAGCTGCAGCAGCAGCAGACCTCAGACCCATGTAACCCTCAAGTCCCTCCCCACGGCTCATAAAGCCATGCTTCGTGGAGCAACCTCCATAGTGATGGCGCTTCTCTCCTGGGAATGTGCTCTTTTGCTTAGAGAAAATAGGTAGGATTTATACCAGATGGAATCTTTGGCTGGTCATACAAATACAGAGGAGTTCCCCTGAGTTTCCAGAGTTTCCAGATTGTTTCGGGCCCCCCTCTTCTCTCCAAAGCAATGTTTGAGTGACTTTAATTGGAGCAGTGATCCATGATCATGGTAAAAACAAATTCAAGTAGTACAAAAGAGAGGGTCCCATGAAAGATAGGGTCCTTTTTCACCCAGGATTTCCAGGCCCCCCTCCACCAGCGGCAGCCATTGTTAGCAGTTTCTTGTTTATCCTTTTAGAAATATTTCTTGCAAAAAAAGAACATTGGTAGGTCACATCCTGTTTTATAATCGTATTTGGGCTGCTGACACCTTTGAGAATTGTGTGACAGCTACGGATCCTTACAAAAAACACCAGCAGAAAGATGGGGCATACCATTTCACTAGGGATGTTGGGTGTCCAGGCCCCCCAGCCCGTCTCTGATCAACAACTCATCCTTTAAATGTCCACCTGACTTCTTACATGCACAAACGCTTTGCAGAGGAGCACATAGGATCAATGTAAGGAGGGATGGTTATCTGTGAAGGAATCCAGACAGTATCGGGATGAAGTGACCGTGAGTGAACCTGCAGGTTCTAGGAGACACGCTGTGTGTGTATATGCGTGTGTATGTGTCCCTAGCTCGCTCTCTGCCAGCAAGAGAGGTATTGATTGCAGTAAAACTTTTTTTAACCTCATTGGTAAGTTGCTTATTTTTAAACAAAATGCTGTTTAAAAGTTATTATTGCATAACTGATGTGTTAACCATTCAAATAATCTAGTTTCAAGTTAAAAGAAGTGGAAGTTCCTTATCCCCTCCCACCGTTCCAACCAGTTGCTCTTGGGGATATATATAACTGAAAGACATAAGTGTGTGTATACATGGTGTTTCTTAATCCAAATAAGATAACCCTATACATAACACTATGAAATGTTTTTCTCACTTAACATTATGTCTTAGGCACACATAGATCTAGCTCATTCTTCAAATGGCTACATAGTGTCTTTATGAAGGTCAGACAAGTTTAATTACATTGAAGGTCTTTCAAGGATATATATAGTAAATCTGATAACAGCTCTGTCCTCAAAACCCTGGGCCCCACTTCCACTGTGGTTATACTGACCCTTCACCCCAGGATCCAGGTCTGTGAGAGAGGGCGGGAGAGAGAACATGAGATCAGAAATGTGAGAGAATGTGTAAGAATGTGTGCATGATGGCCTGGAAGGAGCTCAGAATTTAGTCAAGGGACCCACCTTTGAGACTCCACACCTCCTGGAGATGGGGTCTCTGAGTTTTGCCTTTCCCAAATCATTCTCTGCTTGTCTTTGCCGTGGCTGGACTGGCGTTTCCCGTGGGCCTTCGTTGTGGATGGTGCTCATGGGGCAGAGGCTGGAAGGGGACGGTGGGTCCGGGGTCCGGGGGCTGGGGTCAGGGCCCCCCTGGGGAATGAGGAGCCTGTTCACCAGAAGGCTGGGATCTGCCCCAGCTCTAACATTAACTCACTGGGTAACTGTGCACGTTCCTTTTTCCCTGGGCTTTGGTTCCTCTCATCTGAAAAAGAAAACAGATCAGATCACGCAAAGGACTGTTGAACGTTGGAAGTTCTGAGCTACAGAGAGTGCATGGTCCCAGGGAGGCCGGTGCCTGGGGTGGGATGGGGTGGCAGCAAGGCAGCCCTGTCAGCCCCTCTCCTGGGGAGGGGCATGGCCTTCTGCCTTTGAAAACCTGGCCTGGCTTCTGAAGAACACATCATAAACGCTGCCTCTGTGTCCAGCACAGAGTAAGCCGTGACCTGTGTGGATCCTGGAGTCGAACCAGTCTCATCTAGAGCCTAATCCCCGGTGTTGGTTTTCTCGCCTATAAAATGAGAACATCTGTGACATCTTCGGTGGATTTACATTAGGGGATGAGGGTGGTCTCCTTGAGAGCAGGGACTCCTTTCAGTCCTGTTGCCTCCCCAGTGCCTAAAACAGTCCCTGGCACATTGTAGGTTCCGTATATGTGTGCTGAGTGGCTAGGGAACGGCTCCCTGTACTCCAGTCAGTTATCACAGCCACGGTGTGAGCCGGCCAGCACTGTGGACTTAGCACAATGCTAGTAGACAGCAGCCCGAGTTTGAGCCTTGTGTGCTCCCTCCTGAGCTTACGCTCTCCACTTGTGCCTTGCCACCCCATACCCAAGGGAGCACATCACCTATGTGCCTTCTTCCTTCTGTGCCGCTTTTGATGCTCGCAATACCTTTTTCTCATTGGATGCAGATTGGGGCCAGGGCGGGGAGGGGAGGGAAAGAAGGGGAACAGGGTGGTTACCTCTTAGGGCAGCTCTGGATGTAGGGACCTGGGATGTGTCTCCTTAGGTTTAGCTCTGAATGGACACATTCCTACGAGGCACTTCTTGCCTAGGTCGTTCAAGGGTGCATTTGGGGGAGTCCCGTGATCATTCAGGAGTTAAGCACGAATCACCCGCCACTGCCTGCCTGCCCTTCCCTGCCAAGGTTCCTCTGTATAATTTCATTTATATCAAGCTCTTAACAATGAGCAATAGGGTGGAGAGTGGACTGGAGAATAGCGCATGAGGTCCCAGCTTCCCAGCTTCCTGCGTCCCCCTCCTGTGCCCCCTGACTGAGCTCTGCCAGTGCTTACATTTAGCAAATTAGATCAACTGAGGCTCCTGGAAAGATAAACGACCTGTGGGTGCTCAGGGGAGAGCAGCTAGCAGGATTTGGGGGTGATGATGGGGGGCCACGGGAAGTGGATTCTAAGAAATCCCCTGACCATTGTGGGAGCTGGTGCTCACTGTGAAGTTCTGGGGTTCATGCCAGCTTCTCCTCCAACCCAGGCAGTCGGGGAGGACTGCAGCTGTGCCACGGGGCCGTTACCAGGGACCACAGTAGGGGGAGGGGTGGGGAGTGGCCACAAGTTCTCAGTGTCCTGAGACCTAGTATCTGCCACTCTCCGAAGCAGAATCGTCTGGGCTTTTGTGAAAGGACAGGCTTCTGCCACCAAGCCTGGGCTCCAGGCCAGATTTCCTGAGTGTGCCTGCGCTGGGAATTACCGCTCGACTTGTTTACGCTGCAGATGCTCCAGCCCCAGAATCAGAGTCTCCGACATCTGTCACGTTAATGTACACCGCAGAATGGTCTGATAGGTAGATCTGGGGGCTCTGATCCTGGAGATCTATGACCCCTCAGTTTGGAACTCACTGATGGAGGCAGTTGGCCCAGAGGCTGCCAGAACTTAAATCTTTGGCTCTGGATACCCATCAGACCTTGTTATGCAACCTCTCTGGGGCTCAGTTTCCTCATCTATAAAATGGGACTCATGATGATGCCTTATAACGCTGAAAAAAGAAAAAAAGAATGATGATTATAAGCCCAGAGCCTGGCCTATGGTTAACTCTCAAAAAAATGGCCTCTCACAAGGAAAATGGGCTAAATGCCTCCTTTGTCTTCTTATCTCCCGACAGACTGGTATCTTGCTTCTGACGGGCCGATCTCACCTCTGCGGAGAGTTACTCATGCCTGTCAGCTGTAGCCATCTGTAAACCGGGAGTATCTTTCTGCCCTACTCTACAGGGCTGTGTGACAGAGGTAGTGTGACAGTGTGGTTAAGGTTGTGAGACCTGGGACCAGACTGCTTGTGTTCTGACTACCTGTGTGACTTGGGGCAGTTTATTAACCTCACCTAGTCTTAGTGCTCTTGTTTGCACAATGGGGGTCAGAAATGTTAGGGTGAAGAAGGAAATACTCAGCACAGTGCCCGGGCTATAGCAAAACCTCCACATAGCCACCATGATTAATATTACTCACCATGGACCAAACTCTGGCTTGGTCTCTGCTCTGTTTGACCAGAGGCAGGTTCAAGCAATGCCTGCTGGGTCGGCCCCACGGGGACCTTCACTGGTTCCTGCGCGGAACTTTCCACTCACTGGGTGTTATCTTCGCAGCCACAACCTGATGGGCATAAAACCATCATCTGACTTGCTGTCAAGCCCTCTGTCTCCAATGTTTGGAGTCACTGGGGGAAACTGAGGTCATGGGAGGGGCCTTGGTCAGCCGCGATGAGAAGAAAAGCTTGGGAACAGGATGCCCACAGTGGCTCTGCCCTCTGCCCTTTCCTGTCTGGACTCGAGAGCGGATGTGACCCTGGCTGTTCACCCACTCCCACCTCCAGCTGTTGAGGGAGCACCTTGGGTGTCCTGCCGAGGGGGTTGCTGTGTCAGCCTGGGTGAGGCAGCCGGGAAGTCGTCAGGCTCCCGGGCACCGGAATGAGGTCAGCCAGGGATGGGTTCCAGGAAGGCTGCTGCTGATCCGCTTGGCGCTATCTCTCCGGCAAGCATCACAGGCTCTTCCCAAAGGGGAAAACCTGGGTGGGGATTTGAGGGGGGTAGGGGTGGAGGTGGAAGCTGGGGCAGCCAGAGAGAGGTCCTGCCAGTTTGGAGAGGCAAAGACCGACTTGGAGATACCTTAGCTTTGAAATTTCTGGACAGATGAGGGCCTGAGGTTTTGGAGCCCATGAAATACTACTGGTGCCCTAGGACTTGTTACTGGGCTTCTTCCTCCCGCAGAGCCCTGACTGAATGCCTTCCTTTGCTACAGTATTCATCTCACCGCATCACGCCTGCTACATGGGCCCATACTCACCCTTCCATGGATTATGTGTGGTAGTGATCAGTAGTAGGTCATGGCCTTGGAAGCCTCATTGATGTGATGCTCCCAGGCAGCTGTGTCCAATCCATTAGCGTTAGGGGCGATGAAACCTTTGTGCTCTGTTATATACTCTGTTCTGTACTCCAGTGGTTTATTCCCAGGTTCAGAGTCTAAGCTCCACGGGGGCCGGGACTCTGTCTGTCTTGTTCACGTCTCCATCCTCCTCATCTGGCTCGATGCCTGGCACATAGCAGGAGCTCAGGAAACCATGAATGACTGACTTGTGGAATGAATGGCCGTCCTCCAATGAAACTGAGAATGACTTGAGAACAGGGATTATGTCTAGATCACATCTAGTACAGGTGAAAAGTTCAGTGAGTGAAAGAATAAAATGAATGAACGCATGTCCTTATTCTTAGTTCAGTGTTTGTGTCTATAACCAGGAGCCAAGAGTACTCTCAATCCTTGGTTGTGGACATAACTTCACTGAAGAGCGGCCCGACTCGGGCTAGTAGCAATCACATCGGTGATGCCTCTAGCTTCGGTTTCTTCTGTACACAAAAGTCTTTCCATTTAATCATCTGGAGTCCTGTTAAATTAGTTAATTATCACTTGCATTTACACATGGGAAAAGTGAGTGATTTTTTTTTTTAAAGAGATTTGTTGAAGACCATTTGACAGCTTAACGTTGGAGTGAACACCAGAACTTGGACTCCCCACTCCCACACCACTGTTTTCCTTTCCAGTCACCAGGCCATCATTTTCTCAGTCTCTAGGTTTCAACTTTTGATTTGTCATATGCCATGTTTGAGTTGGGGGGCTTTTTGGAATCCTTGTCTTACCATCCTTTATATATTAACTGTCCTTGGTGAGCCTTTTTAGACCCTTTCAGCTTCTCCGTAACCAGCTTTCAGTACTTGCAATTGTGTACCAGCTTTCATATACATGTACAGATTTCCCTGGAGAGAAAGTCCGAGTTGATGTCAGATTCTTACCAAAAGGGTCATGATCCCATAGTAAAGTTAAGAACCAACGATCAGAACCAACCATGTCACTTTGCATATGGAAAACCTGAGGCCTGAGCAAGAGACTTTTCCAAGACTATAATCTTTGACCAGAGATTCTGTTTCTCCCATTGACAGGGGACTGATTGTGGTGAGCAGTAACCTCAGCTACATCATCGAGCCCCTGCCTGACAGCGAGGGCCACCACCTTATTTACAGATCTGAACATCTCAAGCTACCCCTGGGGAACTGTGGGGCCGAGCACTCCAAGTCCACCCCCGGGGACTGGGTCCTTCATTTCACCAACCAGACCAAGAAACGACCTCGCAGGGTGAGTCTCAGTATAGGAATCAACCTGGGGGTAGGTTTGTCCCCTCTGAGGATCCTTCCTTTGGATCCATGAGTATTTCCAAATTAAAAGAGATGGCCAGGGAGGAAGAAATAACCTTTCTCTTAGAATAAAAATTCTAAGTCACTATCTTGTTCACTGCTGTGTGAAATACACTTGTATTGGATGGAATAACTGTTTTGGGGGAAAGCACTATGACATTTAAAACACCCTGAGATGCTGATTTCAGAAACCTTAAAATGTGAGAAAGAAAAATATGCCTCTCCTTTTGGAATAACTGCTTAACCATATGCACAGAATACTTGTGTTTATGTATGCTGGAAATAGAGGTATGTGGTTTCAGTGTGTTTTGGGAACAGGGTTGTCAGCATGTTCCCTCACAGTTTGGTGGCCCCTGTACTTGCCAGCCCAGCTCATTAGTTTTTGAGTATGAAGGACTGGACCTGTAGTCCCAGAGCAGCCCCAGCAATAACCAAGATGGCGGGCGGAAGGTGTCGTGACGGTGGTGGGGACTGTGGCCAGCATCAAGTGTGAAGTCAGTAAGGGGGGGGGGCACTGCTTATTAACCAATACCATTTCTAAGCAGTTTGTTTTAAAATGAGGCCACACCCACCACTTCTATAGCTCTGATCCGCTCATATCTCTTTCTTAGATGAAAAGGGAAGATTTACACTCCATGAAGTATGTGGAGCTTTACCTCGTGGCTGATTATGCAGAGGTAAGGGGGAGACAGTGGGTTTTAGCGGAAAAGCTACTCTGTTGATAGCTTCCATTTTAGGCTTCCAACCACTTTGGGGAAATGCTGAAACATTCTTCTTTCTTCAGTATGTCATGTGATTTTGGCCTTAAATCTGACCAAGAGCTCTTCTAGCTATTTTAAATATAGTTGGGGAAAAAAAAAATCTTCTGGCTTAATACATTAATCAAATAGAAGATCAGCAACTAGCATTATCTGGATTAATATTTCTTTTTTTTTTTAAGATTTTATTTATTTTTTTGATAGAGAGAGATCACAAGTAGGCAGAGAGGCAGGCAGAGAGAGAGGAGGAAGCAAGCTCCCCGTTGAGCAGAGAGCCCAATGCGGGGCTCGATCCCAGGACCCTGAGATCATGACCTGAGCCAAAGGCAGAGGCCCAACCCACTGAGCCACCCAGACGCCCCTGGATTAACATTTCTTAAACTGAGTCTTAAGACCTTTTGGTTCTGGTGCTTATTCTTAGGGAGCCCATAAATTCTCTACAGAAATTGCCAAAAAATTTTTTGCAAACATAGTAAGGATAATCAGTCATCTTATTGAATACAATTTTCCTGCCCATGTGTGGGTCCATTTTTATAATCCCCTTGGTGCCAAATTAGAACCATGGTTCCCAAAGCATCAGCAGAACCTGGGAACTTTTGAGTGCAAATTCTTGGGCCCCACCCCAGACGCAGTGCTGAGTCCTAATCTGTGGGGCTGGCGTCCAAGAATCCCTATTTTAACAAGCCTTCTGGGTGATTCTGGACACAAGCAAGTTTGACAACTACTGACGTAAGGAATAGCTGTTTACCCTTTAATTCTGTATTTCTCAAATCAGCCAGCTTCTCACGGGGCTTGACTCCTAAAAGTTGATGAACACTCATCTCTCTCACTCTTCCATTTCATCTGTTCATCAATGATATCTTGATTTTCTCATATGTGTCAAACACAGTGTTTGGCCTGAGAAGATTAAGACAGACCTGTCCCTGGCATCAGAGTTTACAGTAGCAGCACAAAAACTCAAGTGTGGTGACTGCCAAGATTGATCGTTATAGAGGATTAGAGCAAAGATCATGAAAGGTCTGGCATGGTTTTGGGAATTGGGGAAAGCTCCCAGGGGAGGATGTTGATGCTGACACATAAGAGTAGGTTCAGGGGGCACTTGGGTAGCTCAGTGGGTTAAGTCTCTGCCTTTGGCTCAGGTCATGATCCCAGGGTCCTGGGATCAAGCACCACATTGGACTCCCTGCTCAGTGGAGAGCCTGCTTCTCCTTCTCCCTCTGCCTGCCACTCTGCCTACTTGTGCTATCTCTCTGTAAACAAATAAAATAAAAAAAAAAAAAAAAAAAAAAGAGTAGGTTCAGGCTCCAGAGCATGTATTTGCCTAAACTAGCCATATTTCACCTCCAATTCTCACTTTATGTAGTGACTCAGCCACAGCTAAACACATCTGGGCAGGGACAGTCACCATGAGCTGAACACTTGCCATGATCTAATGCCACAGCCTTGCCTGGGGCTCCCCTAGGACAGAACTCATCAGAGCTCCGTCTGTCTCATGCCCCATCCAGATGCTGTAGTTACCAGCTCCCCAAAAGACCTCATCCCAAGGCAGCTTTATCTAGTCCACACTCCCAAAGCACGGGTCCTGGAGCAGTACAGGTCATGGAAAGAAACTAGGCTTCAGGCCTGAAGAGCTGCCTTTAAGAACGCTAGTGGCAAGAGCAGGTGGCCTTGAGCTGCCTTAAAGGATAAGCAGGTGTTAACTGGGCAAAAAGGTGGGGGTGAAGGGCATTTCAGGCCGAGGGAACATCAGGTTCTGCTTTGAGAAGAATTTAGCTTTGTAACTGATGTGGATATTGGTTTTTCCAGCACCCTTTCCTTTTTTTTTTTTTCTCTTTTGTTTTCCTTTCCAAAGGCTGGTGTGTGTGTAGGACAGGGGAGTAGTGTGGGGGAGCAAAATCTAAAGTTGATTTAAAAGCCGAGGCTCACGGTCATGGGGAGAGGTAATGACGCTGGCCCTGCCCAGCAGGACTGCCTTTGCAGTGAGAGGGCCGCTGGAAAAAAGCTGAGCTCCTCTGACTCTAGGACATTTTTCCATTTAAGCTTTTGTTAGATGATCTAAGATCATCTCATATAGTGGTCTTGAAACTTTCTTTTATATATATATATATTTTAGCCACAGAATCATTTGTTCAGATAAAGCTCCTAGGCCCCCCAAAGCTCCTGCTCTAATGTGAAGGTGGAGTGATCCTCCCCTTCAACCCTGCACTTGGCCCAGTGACATCTGTCTGGAGGGTTCTAAAACCTACTGGGTGTGAAACTCGGGAAACTAAAGTTGTGGGGGTGGTTTAGGGATTGAGCATCTTCAGTCTCGTGGCATTTGGTGTCACAGCAGAGCCCAAAGAGGAAAAGTGGCCCCCAAGTTGCCTCTAGGACTGTGGTGTGGTCTAGGGCCATCTTGTTCCAGAGGAGAGAGCCTCCAGTGCCGGCCCCATAGGCATTGACTACAGGGAGTGACTCAGGCAACCTGTGGGTCGGGCACATGCTCATTGCTCAGGGTCCTGGGCTTTGAATGATTCCCTGGAGGGGGTTGTAATCAGCCAGGCTACGTTCACAGGCTCACAAATCCCTACCTCGTACACCACCTCTCCCAGACTCCCTCTCCGAGTGGCAGAAGTGAATTCCTGACAGTTAGTTAATCTGAGAGGTGGGGAAAACAGGGAAGAGGAGGGCTGCCTTATCTGTGATTTACAGCCTGGTGCTGAGACAGGCCAGGCTCCTTCTCTGGGCTCTGAATTTGGCGCAGGGTGCACAGTCGCCCAGAGAGTGCAGTAAAAATGACCAAGCAGCTGGGCCTAGGTGGGGCGGCCTGGAGCCGCTCTCCATATATTCATTCCGCAGGTGAAATAGGAAATCTGGGCAGGGAACGAACAACATAGGCTGTTGCAGGAGGATGTGGGGTGGTTGTGTAACCAGGCCTGCAGACTGCTGTCATGCTCCGGACAGAAAGTGGGGTAGCCAGCGAAGGCCAGGTGATGTGCCACATTTTACTTCCTTTGTCCCCCTAGAAAGTATAAGATTGAGATACTTCTTTCTTTTCGATCAGAGGTCCGCAAACTCTAGCCTATAGCCCACCACATGTTTTTGTAAATTGAGTCCTACTGGCAGAAATGCTTCCTGCTTGTATGTGTTGTCTGTGGCTGCTTTAAGCTGCCGCGGCGGAGTGGAGTAGAAGGGGCGCAGCGTGTCCGCAGATCCTCAAGTGTTCACAGTCTCGCCACTTACAGAAAGTTTGTGACTCCTGCTTGAGTCTTCTCTTCTGGACAACATGGTACATGTCTTCAACTACCGTGGTATTATCAGGCAGTTGTTAAAAGACAGGGTTAATATATTTGAAAAACAGTGAACTCTGACTCTGATGTTCTAATAAATATTCTGTATATGTTGCAATCCTTTCTCTGCAGTGAGACCAGTTTAGAAATGGGACAGCCGAGAAACTTCAGGATTCACAAGTCATAGGTCCAAGTCATAGGGCTTCGCATCGAATTGCACTCTAAAAAGCAAGGGTCAAGTGAGAGGATAGTTCTGGTGAGCCACAGTTCTGAAGAAGCCCAGGAAAGTCCACAAGCAGTGGGAGAGTAGAAACAGTGGCTTTCTCGCCGGCTCATGGCCAGACACACCCTCGTCCCAAGAGATATCCCAGGGTGTTTTATCTGGCTGTTCTTTGTGATTCTTGCTTGAATGTTTTTCTGGGATGGGGTGGAAGAAGGATGCGAAGTGTTGGAATTGAAGTACCATATACAGTGTGTGCAAGGTAGATCAGATAGGCACCTAGATTCTCTGTGACAATGGCAGCATACAGGACATGCCCATCATTTGCAAATTTAGGTTACAGTTGTAGCAGATTTTCTCTTTACACTGTGAAGCTTTCCTTCATCATTGCAGCTGAAGGAGATCTATTCCCTCTCAGACAGGAATGATAAATGTGAGGCTACCTACTGAAATGTCTCCTCCTTACTGGTTCCCATGGCAGACATTTGTAATTGAGCACAACACTCTTTCCTACTGAACCCCATACCATCTCAGAATTCTTCTCACTGTAGAAGGCCCTGCCAGTTGATCCAAGTGGCATGTCAGACAAATCCTGTGTGCCGAGGTCTTACGGTCCTGGTTGCCAGCCCCCAAGTGTGTCATTCACGTGGCTTCCCATTGCCGTTATTTATGTGCCCATTTTAATTGTGTATTTCTTAAATACAGATTCTGCCATTGTTGTTATTTTGGGTTGGCTTTCTTTCTTTCTTTCTTTCTTTCTTAAGATTATTTTAGAAAGAAAGAGCAAATGAGCAAGCAGGGGGAAGGGGGAGGAAGTGGGAGAGAATTTCCAGCAGACTCCCTATTGAGTGCAGAGCCTGATGCAGGACTTGATCTCACAGCCCTGAGATCATGACCTGAGTGGAAACCAAGAGTCAGACACTCAACCGACTGAGCCCCCCAGGTGCCCTTCTCTTTCCATTAAAATGGAAATGTACTATTTGGACCAAATGGACCAAATGGACCAGTACCAGGATGTCACACTGTGTCCTATCTAGTGCCAAGCATAATGCCTTGCACATGGCAGCTTTTAGCAGCAATTTGATGAGTGATGATTGATCACATGTAGCGAGGCCTCATGAGATCCCTGTGATGATGGCTTCATGTTGGAGCAATGAGCAACACAAGGATCAGATTGGTCCCACTTCTAAGCCCCAGTGAGAGTTTGCAGGAGACCTGGTAATTTGGAGGACTGGAGAACAGGTTTGACTTCAAGGCCTGGAGGAAGAGAATTCAATTTACTCTACAACTATGACATGTCTACTGTGTGCCTGGCACTGAGCTGGCAGCTGGGGATACCAAGATGACCATGACCCAGGTTCTGCCCTCCCTGAGCTGACACTGTAGGGAGGGTGTGGGGAGAGAGGAAATTGTATAAAAATAACTGCTCTCATAGAAGCCTGGAGAAAATAAAAGCTAATTGAAAGACAAGAAATGGGGTCCAGGAAGGGTCCAGGAAGGGAATCTGGGGCCTCACCGAGCTCTTCTTGCTCCATTCAGTTTCAGAAGAATCGACGAGACCAGGATGCCACCAAACACAAGCTGATGGAGATCGCCAATTACGTTGATAAGGTGAGACCAGGTGTGTACTTTGCGGGAAAGGTGCCAGCACCTCAGAGGGGCCACAGGACAGGAGATGGCATGGCACCTGAGCTGCCTCAGGGATTGGTCACCCCAGCCAATCTCTGAGATGGAATAGCAATGCCATAGAGGCTCAGGGTGGTCATGACAAAGCTCTCAACTCTGTGACCTTAGCCAGGGAACTTAGCTTCTTTGGGTTGCAGTTTTGTGTTATGTTTAAATTTACAAAGTAGAGGGGCTGGCTTGAATCAGTGGCTTTTCAAAATTTTTGTTTTTCTGGTGGAACTCTTCTTTTTCAATGAAATCTTATGCCGTGTCTAATATAAAAGATAAAAACGGACTCTCAAAGCAGGGGTGAGGATCCAGAGTGCGGTCCTCTTGCTCCTTCCCCTCACCCCTGCTAATGGCTGCCAGGCAACATAAGACATGGAAGAGCCCAGCTGAAGAAAGCTTTAAAGTTCTCTAAGGTTCCTTCCAGGCATAAAGCCCAGAAGTTTCCTGAGTTAGGGGAGAACTGAGGTAGGTGAGCATGGGAAAGGTACAGAGACTGGGCTTCTTCACTTATGGTAGTGTTTGTGAGTTGTGTCCATGTTGAATAGCATGTATAAGTACTTCATTCTCTGTTGTTACATATTGTCCCAGGATATACCACATTTTGTTCATTCATTCATAGTTGATGGATCTGCTGCCTACTAAGCCAGAGCTAACTTGGGTCCATTCCCCAAGGCTGATTTCAGCAAATGCTGATTGAGCACATAGGTGTAAACTCCTATGCTATGTGCTGTAGGGAGTATATGCAAACGCACCATCCTTGCCCTCTGGCAGTTTGCTCTCTGTGAGAGGGAAAACATGCAAGCAGCATAACTCAAGGCAAATTACAACTTTAATAACAGAGTTGAAAATACAGGGCTGAGGAGGCAGGTGGGAATAGAGACTTTCTGGCTGGGGATAGAGAAGGCTTCTCTAAGGACAGTCACTTGGAACTCTGTCTTGCAGGAGCAAGGTGGGGAGGCTGTTTTTTGTCTTTTATATTGAAGTATAATTGATGTACAATAGCCTATTAGTTTCAGGGGTACCTGGCTTGATATTTTTATACATTATGAAATGATCCCCAGGATAAATTTAGTTACTATCTCTCACCATGCAAAGTTATAGTATCGTTGACTATATTCCCTATGCTGTGCATGACAACCCCATGACTTATTTTATAACCGAAAGTTTATACCTCTTCATCCCCTTCGCCTATTTCAAGCTCCCCCTCCTCCAATAACCAAGTTTGTTTCCTGTTATCTATGAGTCTATTTCTGTTTTTCATTTGTTTTTGGCTTTTAGGTTCCACATGAAAGTGAAATCACACGTTATTTGTCTTTATCTATTTGACTTATTTCACTTAGCATTTTACCTTCTAGGTTTGTCCAAAGGAGGGGAAGCTTTGGATGAGGGAGGGAGGAGAGGTGACTGGAAGAATGAGAAAGGAATTCAAACTGAGAAATTAATATATAAATATTTGGTCTGGATCAAGGGGAGGCAAAGCTGTACTGCTAATAATCTCTTGGGAATTCAGTATTCCAACTAGCCAAATCATTTTAATTCAGAAGGGTATTATGTAGGGAATAGGGAAGGGCTTTATTTTTCCTTCCACATCTTGCTACCCAAGGATTTCAGTGCCTTGAAGCTCAATTTTTTTGGTCTCTCTTATTGTTGACTTTGAGTTGGGCTCTCTTCCCTCAGGTAAAACCATGTGATCAGGGAGGTAGGTGGGGTACTTCCAGGAAAGATCCTTGAGGTACACTCTAAAGTTAGGCTGTATTTTTTTACACATGGGATGAGAAGAAGCTTTTCCCCCAGGCCTCCCCAATGAAGGAAATTCAGGTTGAGTCAAGTAGATAGAGGTATACCTAGTGGATGAGCCATGGACTGAGGGGTGAGCCTAACACAGAAGTGGCTTCTTCTCAACTTAGGGGTGGGGGAAAGCCTCTTAAGAAGTGGGGCATGGTGGGCGGGATGCAGATGGATGCGAGGATGTACTTTTGGACTTGGGAGAAGTGTGGAAGTTCCACTTTCAAGACTTCTATTTTCTCCCTAGCTGCTAGGATGCATCTAGGCTCTTCATCTAGACTCTCTAGAAGTTGGGGGATATTTCCACTCCCCAACCTTTGTGCTTGGGCAATGGAGCATGAGTATCCTAAGAAAAATCTAAGGGAAGAGGGTGTCAATACTGGAGCCTCTGGATGGGTTCTGTCCTGAGAATGAAATTGCATTTACACTTCACCCGGGAAAATACTTTGATTTTAAGAAAATGAGCTTACTCTTTCTCTGTGTGGAACTTACACAGAACTTTAGCTGACACCTTGAATACTAAATAAATGGGCCCTTGGGTACCATGGTACAAGTTGTAGGTCTTGCTCAGACTCAGCTATAGGGAGACTTTGGATCAGAGAATCCCTGGTTCTTTTTTTTTTCCTCTTAAAGTAAGCTCCATGCCCAACATGGAGCTTACTTTAACTCATGACCCTGAGATCAAGAATCGTAAGCTCTACCAACTGAGCCAACTAGGCACCCCAAGTCATTGGCTTTTCTGATGAGAGTGTCTATTGTACTGGGCTTGAGCTCTAGACTACTCACTGGGAACTCTTAATTTCTTGTCTTTCCTTCCTTCTCTCCCTTCATTTAACAAATATTGTGAGCGCCAGGCATGTGGCAGTTGTTAGGCTAGGTCATGGGTGTTCCCAGGAGAGCACTGGTAAGCAAAACACAGTCTCTGCTGTCACAGGGCTTAGAGCTTAGTGGAGGAAATAGAGAATCAAATTATTACGGAACAAGGTAGGGCTGTCATGGAGGAAGTGGAGGGCACTGTGGGACCTGAGGAAGGGGAACAAACATACTCTGAACTGGGGAGAAGGGATGGCTTCTGGGAGGAAGTGAAGTAAGGAAGAAGTAGGGTTGGGGGGAGGAGGGTGTGATAGAGTTGGCATATTCAAGCTGCACAAGTGGCAGAAACAAAGGCCTAACAGCAAGATTACCATGTGGAGACGTAAAGAAGTTCTTTGTGGTTAGAGCAGAGAGGGAGGGGACTGGAGGAAGTGGTGAGGGAAGAAGTTGGCTAGGTAGATAAGGGTGAATTCTTGGAGGGCCTCAAAGGCTTCTTAAATGGCTTAGCTGTTTATCTTGAGGGCAATGGGGAACTAAAGAGTATTTTGAAACTTAGGTAGTAATAGCATCCAAAATGCATTCGAGAAGGACTACTTCTACTGAAGTGTAGGAGGAATTCCAAGGGGCAAGACTAGGGAAGTTCTAAGACCCATTCAAAAGTTTTATTATCATCTGAGTGAGAAATTATGGTGGTCGAATTTAGGGAAGAGGTAGCTGATATGGAGAGAAGAGGATGCATTACAGAGGTGTTTACAGGGGGGAGTCACGGAGACTGGGAGATGCGCTGACTCTGGGCTGAGGGAGGAGATGGATTCCAGGGCCAACCTGAGTGTCCTGCCTGAGTAGGTAGCAGGGCAAGGCTGCCAGGCCCTGGGTTTGTCCTTAGCTTGTGCTGGGACCTCAGAAAAGCCACTTCTTTTTTTCAAGTTTTTAGTTTTCTCATTAGATGAAAACAATAATCCCCAGTCACCAACTTTGTGGGATCATGGTGGGGACCCACAAATAAAATCTAAGTGTAAAGTAGTGTCCTGTTCTCTTTCCATGACCGTAAAAGGCCGGGCAGAAGCAACGTCTGTCCTTACCCTGGTTATCTTTGTAATATGGGGTTTTACATAGTTTTCCCTCCTTATCTGTAATTCTAAGCACTTAATCACCCAGGAACTGGTGAGACCTCTGCCTGTTTAGCAGCTGAGGCCTCACTGGGGGCCTTTCTGGGGGTTCTCAAACCCGCTTTTGTTGAAAACAATGATATCATTGAGTGGGTGGGGCTGGGCCAGGCTTTCCTCAGCCGGTTTAAGGAGAAATAGGGTCTTTATGACTTCTGTACTTATGGCTCTTTTCCAGTCCTTTCCATAGCTCCCATGTGCCCCACTGCCCCTTTTCCTTCTTTCTCCCTGAGGTTACAGATTTGTGGAAAACTGGCAGCCTCCACATTTTCTCCTCTTGCATCAGTCTCCCCGGAGAGAGGTCCAGATGGGCCAAAGGGGCTATAATGGCTGCATTATATCAGGCATGGTTCTTTTTCCAAGCCCCCTCCTCCCATGAAAGGAAAGGCAAGTCATGGGAAGGGATTCCTTTGGAAGGGAGACTGGAATGCTAGGGAAAGAGGTGATCTAAGTGTTGGGAGAGATAGCAGGCTTCTTGTATTCTAGGAGCTCTTTATCTCTTGAGTTCTTGGTGCTAAATTTGGGAATTGGTAAGGGTGCAAAGACTGAACTAGCCTTTCAGTTATGTGGTGGGGGGAACACGGCTGGGGGAAGGAAAGCAGAAATGTTGAATAAGGACCCTTAGTTCCTATTCCTTTACTCCACTCTTCCTCTCTGTCCTCAACACACACTCACTCGCGCACATGGACACACACACACACACACACACACACACACACAGAGTTGCATAAGCACCCTTCCTCCATAGATGTGTAGGCAGCTTTTTAGGGGTACTTGGAAGCTGGTTGCCTAATGGCTTTGCAGCAATTCCAGGAAGGAAGGAAGATAGGCTGTTTAACAGTGACTCTGCCTCCAGCGACCAGATGGTCATACCCACCTTCTGTGTGGTCTGTTCGTGTTTGCCAAGTGCTTTCATAGCTGACCTTGTAGGAAAGGAAAAATCATTTTCCCTCTACCTTTCTAAGTTCTTGGCTGGGAACCCTGTAACAAAAGACAGATTAACGAGAAAAACAAACAGAAGTTTATTAACGTGTACGTAAGAGATACCCAGGGAAAAATGAGCAGTAACTCCAAGAGTTAGAATTCAGGCTTATGTAGCATCTTTCCCAAAGAACAATAAATCTGTGGCGAAATGACAGGACAGAGGAAAGCAGTTAGGCTTCCAAAGATGGT